ATTATGTAATTTCTTCTAGAAAGGATATAGATTACTTATAACTCAGTGTCATAACTTTTGGTAGAGAGCTTCCTCTTTCTTTTTTTCTGATTTGCCTTTTTTTGTTATTTTATTTTTATTGTGAAAAAACTGTACAGAGGGGTTACAATTACATGGGCAAGATAATGAGTACATTTCTTATCAAGCATTGTAGCCTCCTCCTTTGTTTACCCTTCCCATCCCTTCCAAGCCTCCCCCCATCCAATCCTCCCCCCACCCCCCAACCAAAGTTGTAAAGTTCCTTTTCGACACGACAACTTGTACTTCTCATTGTTGCAACGGTTCCACCTGTATCCTTATTTAAACGATTTGTTTTTCCCCTTCCCTTCCACAAATTATACCGACATCAAATACAGTGAAGGCAGGGGTTATACTGTGGGGGAGGGACATACAAAGCAACGAAGAAATAATCATATAAATGCGTTAGAAAGAAATGCATGAAAGGAAAAAAACATTTAAATTCATATCTTAGGGTTCATTTCCCTAATATCACCTTATCTGACATTTTCTGCTTCACTCATATATATACTAACTATTGCAAATGAGGGAAACCATGGGACCTATGTTTCTTTGGGCTTGGCTTACATCACTTAATATAATTTTTTCCAAGTCTTACCATTTCCTAACAAATGGGGCAATGTCATTCTTTCTGATGGAGGCATAGAATTCCATTGTGCATATATACACCACATTTTCTTGATCCATTCATCTACTGAGAGGCATCTGGGTTGGTTCCATATCTTAGCTATAGTAAATAATGCTGCAATAAACATAGTTGGGCTGGTAGCTTTAGTGTGGTCTTGTTTGTAAACATTTGGGTAAATGTCCAAAAGTGGGATTGCTGGGTCATAGGGGAGCTCTATGTAAAGTCTTTTGAGGAACCTCCATACTACTTTCCAAAGTAGTTCAACAAGTTTACACTCCCACCAACAATGCAGTAAGGTTCCCTTCTGTCCACATCCCCTCCAGCATCTGTTATTAGGGTTCTTGATTATAGCCATTCTAACTGGAGTGAGGTGGTATCTTTTGCATTTCTTTTATGGCTAGGGAGGTTGAGAATTTCTTCATGTGTCTATTGGCCATCCTTCTTTCTTCTTCAGAGAAGTTTCTCTTTAAGTCTTTAGCCCACTTATTTATTGGGCAGTTGTTTCTTTGAGGATTTGTTGTTGGGGGATTTAATTTTTTGAGTTCCAAGTATATTTTAGATATGAGACCCTTGTCCATTGTATACCTAGTGAAGATCTTCTCCCAATCCGTGGGCTTTCTATTGATCTTGCTAGCTATGTCCTTTGCCATGAAGAAGCTCTGCAATTTCATGCAGTCCCATTTGTCCAACCTTTCTTTGATTTGTTGTGTTTCTGGGTCTCTATTAAGAAAATTTCGGCCTGTGCCAAGGAGACCTAGGGCTTCTCCTATTCTATCCTGTAATGTTTTCAGAGTGTCTGTTTTGACTGCGAGGTCTTTGATCCATTTGGAGTTGATTCTGGTGCAGGGTGATATATAAGGATCTAGCTTTAGTTTTCTACAAGTAGTTAACCTATTTTGCCAGCACCATTTACTGAAGAGGCTATCTTTCTTCCATTCTATTTTTTTTGGCTCCCTTATCGAAGATTAGATGGCTATAGGTCTGTAGGTTCATTTCTGGGTTTTCAATTCTACTCCACTGGTCCTGAGGTCTGTTCTTGTGCCAGTACCAAGCTGTTTTGATTACTATGGCTTTATAGTAGAGTTTGAAATTTGGTATTGATATTCCTCCAGCACTGTTCTTTCTGTTGAGGATTGTTTTTGCTATTCGGGGTCTTTTATTGTTCCATATGAATTTTTGGATTGCCTCTTCTATTTTCTTGAAGAATGAGGTTGGAATTTTGATAGGTATCACATTGAATTTGTAGATAGCCTTGGGAAGTATTGCCATTTTCATGATGTTAATCTTTCCAAGCCAGGAGCATGGGATTTTTTTTTGCCATTTTCTAAGTTCTGTTTTGATTTCCTTTTTCAAGTTTTTAAAGTTTTCATCATAGAGGTCCTTCACTTCTTTGGTTAAGTTAATTCCTAGGTATTTTATTTTTTGTGGGGCTATTACAAATGGAGTTGCTTTCATCACATCAACAGGAGCAAGGATAAGAACCACATGGTTATCTCAATAGATGCAGAAAAAGCATTCAACAAGATCCAACACCCCTTTATGATGAAGGTTTTGGAAAAATTGGGAATCCATGGATCATTCCTCAATACAATAAAGGCTGTATATGACAAACCTACAGCCAGCATTATACTTAATGGTGAAAAACTAAAGCCATTTCCTCTTAACTCAGGAACAAGACAAGGATGTCCACTCTCTCCACTTCTCTTCAATCTAGTATTAGAATGCCTAGCTACAGCAATAAGACAAGATGCAAACATAAAGGGGATCCAAATAGGGAAGGAAGAAAAAAAGCTCTCCCTATTTGCAGATGACATGATCTTGTATTTAAAGAATCCCATAGACTCCATCCCAAATTACTCAAGCTGATTCAAAACTTTGGCAAAGTAGCAGGGTATAAAATTAACCCCCCAAAATCAATGGCTTTTCTGATTTGCCTTTCAAATCTTACACAATGGGGTTTCAATTATCTGGGTAGCATTACTTGTATCTAGTTTATCTTGGAAGTCATATTGTTCAAACTAGATGCTTTGGAGAAAGTTTTCTGTCAGAAGCAGCCATATAGCTACCACTGCTTTAAATTTCTTCAAAGCTAAAGTTCACAACACAGACCTTAACTGAGCATAAATGACTTACTAATCACAATCTTGCTCCTGCTAGTAAGAATAGCCTCAAAACACCTGGAAGGTCATCACACAGGTTTCTCTCTCATTGGGCTCCTAGGTTTTCACCCGAGCATGCTGATTCAACCCCAGGCTCCACAATTTGCCAGTGTCCACAGCTCTGCACTAACTGGCAAGGAAGAAGAGGGACTTGTTGAAGACAGTCACCTCAAACCTACCATAACACTAGTTTATACTTATCAACTGAATGAATGAATAAACATTTATGAAACTTCCCTGAGAGTCCATTCATTCTAATCTATTAAAGAATTTGAGGCGAATTACAAATTCTTTCAATACCAAAATAAACACATCCATACAATTTGTGGTGGGTACAGAAGAAAGAATGATTACTCTGAGGCTAATCCATGGGTTGAAGTTTAAAAAGCTCTGCTCTAAGAAGGTGCTATACCTGGAATCCTAGTTACTAGGATGGTTGAAAATGTTGGGATCACAGAAGACACCCTGGGCAGAAAGAAGTGTGTGAGATCCTTTCTTGACAAACAGTTGGATGTGGAGGTATACCTTGTTATCCTAGCAACCGGGAAACGTAACATAGATGGATGACTAGTACCTAGGCAAGTACACAGCAGGGAGCAAGACCCTATCTCAAAAAGGAAAAAAAAAATTGCAAATCAGGGCTGATGGCATAGCTCAGCTGCTAAAGCACCTGCTTAACAATTGGGAGGTCTTCAGTAAACTAACACCCCAAAAAGTTCTTCCCTGCATAAATAAAACACTTTGAGAAAAAAAAAAACACTTAGGAGTAAATTAAACCACACAAGTGAAAGACTTGTCTGCTAAAAACTATAAAAAACATTTCTGGAAGAAATTTAAAACATAAATAAATGGAAAAACTTCAAAAACAAATTCTCTGAGAAATAAAAATATATGTGGCTTAACAGCCACACATATGAAGCATCATATTGACCTTGTACTGAAATGCTTGTACAAATCTAGCACAATTCTCCTTGTTATTGTTGAGGCCCACTAAAATGAAGGCCCTTCTATTTCTTTTAAGGAAAGTTATTAAGAGTGCACGCGGGGGCTGGGAAGGTGGCTCAGTGGTAGAGTGCTTGCCTCACATGCATGAGGCCCTGGGTTGGATTCCTCAGCACCACATAATAAAAAAAAAAAAAGGAAAGGGGTGCTGTGGCTCAAATTGTAGAGCACTAGCCTTGAGCTGAAGAGCTGAGGGACAGCGCCCAGGCCCAGAGTTCAAGCCCCACGACTGACAAAAAAATAAAAAATAAAAAAAGAGTGCACATGCTTCTCTCAACCTCTCTCTCTCATATATTGTTTGAACCTGGCAAAGGTACACCTCTGGTCTCTTTAGTACTCAGCTTTGTTTCAGCCTATGGAAATGTACAGGATTTTTAGCCCTGTGGAAATGCTCAGGATTTTACTGGGACCATGTTTCTTTTCCCTAGAAAATCCATGGCATATTTTTAAATTTAAATGTAATTTAAGCATGTAATTTGTTTGACTCTAGTTCTGATTCTATTTTGTCTTAATTATTCCTTGTCTATTCTTATTATATTTTTCATCTTGTTTTATTTTGTCACATTGTGAACAAAAATTTCAAATATCTCCTAAAAGGTGGTCTATTGATGAGTTAAAATGTAGGAGGACAAGTCATTAAGTCTGCCTACCTAAATATTTCTTAAAACACTCATATTATTTGGTCAGTAAGAACAACAAGTATTTTGAGAGAGGTGGTACTTCTTAGGAAAACTCACACCTAAGGACATTTCAGAATTATTCTTGATTTATGTAATATGCAAAACATAACTATTCTTGTGTTTTAAAGCAACCATAAAAATGAACTAAGTGTGTGTGTGTGTGTGTGTGTGTGTGTGTGTGGTACTTGGGTTTGACCTCAGGAAAATCACTCAAGATTTGAGCCATGTCACCTCCCATCACCCTAAAACTTTTTTGCTTTATTTTCCCCACAGAGTCTCTCATTTTGCCTTGGACTATTACCTGCACACTGACACCTATAGAGTAGTTGAGATTATACACATTATACACACATTGTGCCCATCTTAAACTCTGAAGTTCATAAAGATTTCTGCACAGCCTAATTTAAAACAGTTACTTGATTCTTCAATTAATAGAGTTCTTTATTTTTCAATAGTAAAGCTGTAACTGCTTACAGGCACATGGACTTTCCGAAACATCTCTGCACCCTTGTGTGCATCCATCAGTGCAATGTCCTGGGGAGTGGAGACAATCACTGCACCTAAGCAAAAGATAAAGAAAATGATGTTGTCTTTTCATTCTTTATCAAAAATTGCTTATGTGGTGAAAATTTTACATAAATGAGTAGGAAAGATGAGGAAATGTCTATCTTGCCTCCTTTGACTCTTCACTTCTAAAATTACCGAATAACTCAGTATCATAGATCATTGGACTTTCTCCTCATTCAGACAATGTACTAAGGAGAACAGAAGAACCAAGCAAGCTTCACCTTCAAGAAATTTCCTTTACTTCAGAGACAACCAACCAAAGATTATAACACAAAATGCTAGGTCTTGTAATAGTGATATGCAAAGGATATTATATATTTACAATAAAAAGACAGGAAGAAAAACTAATAGGTGAAATGAACCCCAAGATAAGGACTCAAATGTTTTTTTCTTTCTTGCTATTGTTTCTAACATATTTATAAGATATTTCTTTGTTGCTTTGTATGTCCCTCCCCCACAGTATATTTCACTGTATTTGATGTTGTATAATTTGTGGAGGGGAAGGGAAAAAACAAATTGTTTAAATAGGGATACAGGTGGACTCATTACAACAATGAGATGTACAAGATATTATGTCGAAAATGAACTTTAAAACTTTGGCACGGGGGTGGGGAGGGGAGAGAGATGGGAAGGGATGGTAAGGGGAAACAAAGGAGGAGGCAACAATGCTTGATAAGAAATGTACTCATTACCTTGTCCATGTAATTGTAACCCCTGTGTACAGTATTTTCACAATAAAAAAAAGAAAAAGAAAAAAAAACTAATAGGAAAGGAAGACAATGATGAATTGTGATGGACAGAGAAGCAAAAGGTAAAGAGAAACAACAGGAACAGGTTTCCGGAAAGAGATAATTCCTAAGTCAAGTAAAGAAAGTTCATATTCTGAAAAACTGGCATGGTGAATGGCTTGCTGGAGGTTAAACTTAGGGCTGGGGTTGAAAGTCAGAGGCAAAATAGTGGTGTCTGAATGAGTTGAAGGGATAAAGATGGTGATTTCCTGCGTGTCCATTATTACCCTCTAGAAACAAGAGAGAATTGGACAGTATTTTAAGGAAAGTGCAGTTCAGTTTTTCCTTAAATAACAAAAGTCTGGTTATGACTAACAGTCTATGAATGTTTTATGTTCTGTAACTTCTTCTAGGTAATAGTCCCCAAAAGAAATAACACAAAAAATACTATAGATCACACAACTGACAGAGCTAATGAAAAGAGAAAGGATTAACAGCAAATAACTTTTGTGTCAAGGGAAGATCAAATGATACTACAGAGTATTGTCTAAATGAAGATTTTAGGAAAATTAAAATACAGCAAGTGAAATGAGGACCAAGTTATCACAAATCTGTTAAAACCTGCCAACTCAAAACAAAAAACTGTAAACAATAAACTACAAATTCATTACTTCATTTCAGCACATAATCTTTCACATTAAAATTAATGTCATTAATTTAAATTTCACTAATTTTTATGTTTTACTTATATTTAACTTGATTCATATTTAGTAACATAAGAACTATAAGTTTAAACATTTTGGGTTTAAAGTCAAGCACAAGTGGCTGATACCTATAATCCTAGCTATTCAGGAAGCTAAAATCTGAAAACTGAGGTTCAAAGCTAACCTGGGAAGAAAAAGTCCATGACACTCTTATTTCCAATTAATCACCGAAAGAAAAGGGTGAAAGTGGAATTGTGGCTCAAGTAGTAGAGCAGCAGACTTGAGTGAAAAAGCTAAAGATAGCATCCATGTTGTGAATTCAAATGCCAGCACAGAGAAGTAATTTTATAATTAAAAATAAATCAAGGTAGGAACAGACATTATTTTTCCTTTAGACGGTGGGTTTATATTCACACCCAAGTTTGAGATACATCAATTGCGGATTCAAAGACATCAAGATTCAAAGTTTGCTCCTATTGCTGGCACCTGTACAAGGAGGAAATGATTTAACCTACTCAAGCTTCAGTTCCTTCATCTACAAAATGGAGATCCAAGTATTACATAAATAATAAACTACTGTCCAGATGCCATACAATTCAATAACTGATAGCTGCTGTTAATAATATTATTGTTGCCATTATTATGTTTATTATTGTTATTTTTAACATGCCTCAGAAATTGCAGGAAAGGCCATCTTCCTATATGCTCCTGGGCAGATAAGATTGCTACTCCCCTTCTACTTCGCTTTATACCCAATAAAATGTCAATAGTTTCTTTTCCTCTTTTTTTTTGTTGTTGTTGTTGGTTGTGGGGCCTGAACTCTGGGCCTGGGCGCTGTCCCTCAGCTCTTCAGCTCAAGGCTAGAGCTCTACCACTTGAGCCACAGCACTACTTCCTCTTTTCCTGTTTTAAAGACTGATGCAAATCACGTCTGTGTAAGAATTATACTCTACACATCCAGAATATTTCCACATTTTTTTTACCTTATAGATTCTGTTTTTATACCAATCTGCTTTAATCCAGTCATTTGGAAGGGATCTAATTTGAGCTTTGTCTCAATATGGCTGTGACTAATCTTGGGCAAATAACAGAATCATTCTGGGCCTCACTTTCCTTAGTTATAGAATTAGTGCAAGCACTCGACAGTCTCCAATAACTGTCCTATTGCTGATTATATAACTTAGCATTCCCTCTTAACAAAAAGTGTTTTTGGAACTACCTTTGCTCAACCTTAGTATCCCAATAATCTCGTATGAGTGAATGTGAAATGCCATCTCCTCCAAAAATTATTGCCTGTCAGGGTCATAGCCATATTCTTCATACATAAACAGGGAACTACTTGGCTATTTCCTCAAACCTTCTCCTTAACTACACAGGAGCTAGTACACAGGAAGTTCTCTACTCCACAGCTCTAAAAAGTAATCTAAGCATCCATATGATATTCAAGAGGCAAATATCAAGGGGATCATGGTTTAAGGAGATCAAGGTTTAAGACTGAGAAAAAAACTAGAAATGGTGGCATACATCTGTCATGCCAACAAATAGTTGGCACAAATAGTTGGGAAGCACACATAGCAGGATTGCAGTCAGTCTGGCCTGGCCTCACCACAAGGCCTTATTTAAAAACAACAATGAGGGCATAGCTCTGATGGCAGAGCACCTGAATGGCGAGCATAAGGCTCACAGTGCAAACTCTATTTACCTCAAAGGGAGTGTGTAAGGACTAAGGTAGTTCTTGTGGGATCTAGTTGGCAAAAGTTAGTATAAAAAAAGAGAACTTGACCCCTGATTTTCTCTGGCGCCTCGTCTTACCATGTCATGCGCCCTTCATGCACACACTCATACTCTGATGTCTTCTAGTACAGCATAATGCAGCCATGGGAGCTTTTACCAGAGGCTGAACAAATAGAACTACCTAATCTCAGACGCTAAAAAATCATGATTTAAATAAGCCCCTTTTGTTTATAAAATACTCAGCCTCAGGTACTTTATTAAAGCAACAGCAAGACTATTCTATCATTGAATACTGCAACATAAATTCCTTCAACTCAAAGTTATGAGTTCTGAATTCCGGTTTTGTGGACTATGTTCATGTAATGAATAATGCTATAAATTTCAAAACATGTCAATTAATCCTTGTATAAAATAAACATATTTTAGTACTATTATATGAAACTAATTGTGTCGTTAGACACAAAGTGCTGTTCCATTTTAAAAAGAAGCTGGGTGCTGTTGGCTCATGTCTGTAATACTAGCTACTCAGAGGGCTGAGATCTGAGGATCAAGGTTCAAAGCCAGCGTGGGCAGGAAAGTCCATGAGACTCTTGTCTCCAATAAACCACTAGAAAACCGGAAGTAGCACTGTAGCTCAAGTGGTAGAGTTCTCACCTTGAGCTGAAGAGCGCAGGATAGTATCCAAGCCCAGATTTCAAGCCCCATAACAGACAAAAAGCAAAAAAAAAAAAGAAAAAGATATAGATATATAAAAGTATTATAAAAATGTTCAGAGCCATTATTTTGATATCTAAAGGAAAGATTAAAGTTACTTGCTTTTTTCTGTATTGATTCTAATAACTATTCCATCTGAGTTTCTCTGTAGAGTGATCTGAATAGCACCATTCAAACGCAATTCCTAACTTTTTAATAAGGACAATAATCTTTCCTGTCTCAATAAATGTTCATGCAATGAGTAAATTGCTTCAGTGGGACTTCCAATTATATCTACAGAAAATATTTTGATGTGAGATTCTTTTTACACTAAACTACACTGTTAATTATTAGGTTCTTAGTCAAAACAAAATTGGACTTTGAGATACCATCTTGATCTACTCAGACCACTGTCTTTCTTGTAGTATTAACATTTAATATATCATACAAGTGGCCTTTTAAAGGTCAGTGCCTATGCTGACATTTAAAATTTATGAGAAAGAAATAAAACATAAATAAGATTCACAGAAAACCAGTAATAAATTACATTTATGTATTACCTAAACGTTAAAGAAATTCTATCAAATTTTTTGTTACTGTATCTCATAACTTAAAATATGGTCTTCAAAACTTACTGTTCAGGGTGAGGGGAGGAGGCCGGGAAGGAAGGGAAAGTAGGAAAAATACAAAGGAAGGGGTAACAATGTTCGACAAGAAATGTACTCATTACCTTACTCATATAACTGTAACCCTGTACAGCATCTTTACAAGAAAATAAAATTTAAAGAAAACTTAATGTTCCTCTTTGTCTTTGTGGATCTTGAGTTGTACATGATTATTTTTCATTTTTCTCATGACTCATGCCTATGAACCATTACAAACTAGCCTACATTTTTCCCGCTCTTTATATCATCACTAATGATGTCATTTCAGTTTTGTGATGAAAAGTTTGTTAGAAAACTTGTGCTTCCTCTTCTGACTATTCAGAAATGTTAAAAGAATGTTTAGTCTGCAACAAATGTGATTATTTGGCCAGTGGAGTTTGAGGGTGAGTTAAATGCTTATCTCAAGAATCCCATTAAGAATTGTCTATCCATTTCCTATATACATAACTAAGTCCAAATAAGTAAAAAA